ATTTTATTCAAAACTCCAGATGTATTCAAAGGTTCTTTAATTGACAATTATTTTCTTTTCAATTTTAAAATAATAAATGTCAATTAACCTAGCTATATATTCTTTTTTATAAATGATATCTGAATATTTGTTTCATTTTTAAATAATTATGCTATTCATCATGAAAATATATCAACTTTCTTACTTGTTCTAGTTTTTTCTTTACATTATAATTATCTAAGCCAAATAAAGTAATTCCTGACCACCCTTTTAATATGTCTATATTTTTCTACATACTATTAGAATATGATTTGCGAATTTCTTTAGATAATTGATTTTCTTTGTAAATACAAATAAAATATCTATTTTCATCGATAATTTAAAATAATAAAACATATTCTTTAGATTTAGAATAGAGAAAAAATGAAGCAAATTTATATAAATCTTTTTGTTCTATTAGTATACCAATTAAATATATGATTATTTTAATTTTTTGTAAGTTTATTATAAAAGATTGAAATGATAAATCAAATATAAGTTCATCTAAAATATTATTGTCTTCTATACTATAATTAATGCTTCAAAAAAATGCATTTCAGTTTGAAATATTTTTTTATACAGGTTTGAAATAGTATTTATAGGATCTTTTTAACCTCTTATTTAGATTTTAATAAATATTTACACAAAAATCCTGATAACAAATTATTATATTTATTTTCTTGAACAACTCAAATTATAAAGGATCTGTTTTTTAACTTTACTTATGTTTTCATGCTAAGTTAAAAGGGATATTAGTGTTCAATTTTTATTTTATTATCCTGTAACATTCTGACATGCTATCAGTTTTTTAAAAAGGGTCTAAAGTGCAAGTCAGGAATGATTAAACTAGTAGCAATCAACGTTACTGAAGGTCTCTAATATTTTGACATTCTTTTTTAAATAGTTTATTATATGTTCTATCAACACATTGTGATTATTACAAGTATATTTGCTTAAATATATTAATTATCTTGCTTTAATTATTATTATATATATAATCAACATCTTATAATCAGTAAATCACAAATTAATTAAATTAAATGTTTACAAATATAAACTGATTTGTTAAAAAATAAGAACAACTATAAATCTAATTTTAAACTTTTATTATATAAACAATGTTAGAATTAGACTTTGTTTAATTCCTAATAATGAACTATTAAACTTTAGATCTAATAGAGATATTTAGTCCAATTCTAATTCAAATGGACTATAATTATATAATATTAGCTAAATCATAATTTTATATATTATAATTCTAATCAAATTTATAATATTAGCTTAACTTAAAAATTTAATAAAATCATTTAACTAGAATGATTCTACTGACTTTAATTTTTTAGATGACAGAATATTTAAAATTAATATTACAAATATTTTAAATTTATTTTATTCTATTTAAAGTTAGATATTTATATTAAGAGTTTAAAAAAACCTAATTATTTGTCAAATATTATATTAAATAATAATTAGTAAATTTAATAAAATTATAACAAATATTAAAAAAATGATTTACATATTACTAAAAATTTATAGTTATTGAATGAAATCTATAGTCTAATAGTCCAAATTTTAATGAAATTAGAATGAACTAAATCTATTAATTCAGTAGTCTAATAGTCTAAAAGTCTATTAGTCTAAAAGACTAATATTGTATATAAGTATTTTCAATTTTATTTTTACTTAACTATTTTTACTTAACTTTAAACTATTTTTTTTAATCTGAATATTCTTATATAACTAATATTTGCTGAAATTTTTATTTTTAAAATAGTTTTATTTTTAATAAAATGATATAAATAATAAGCTTAAGATAAAAATGAAAAAATTTTATATAAAAATCTCATTTTAAAACTTTTCATTATTTTTAATAAATATTATTATTTTGAGAATAGAAATATTTTTATAAGCTGATAATTATCACTATATTATTTTTTTTAAATATATATTCAAAGATATATTAATAAATATCACTTATAAAATTCATAGATTTTTCTTACAGCTTGTTTTTGTATTTGAACACTTATTAAATATTTTTTAGTTAAATTTAGAATTAATGAATACTAATGTAAATGTCAATATATGATTTTTCATACCTCTTTTAAATGAATCTTTTCTGATCTTATTTCTATTATTAATTCAAATGTTATTTCAATAAAAGAAAATTTTTTATATATAACAAATAAATTATATATAATTTATTGTGATTTTTTAATTTATTTTCAATAGTACATTATATATACTATTAATATAATTAAATTTTAATACTTAGCTATATATATTGTATAATAGAAATTTGAGCAAAATTTTTATTTATCAAAAAACTCCAGTTCTATATATTTGTGAAGTTAAATTTCTATTAAAAAAGCTGTTATAGTATCCATTTTTATTAATCTACTACAATTTCTATTTTTTCAAAAAATAAAAAAACTAATAGAAATTCAATATTATTAATTTCTGCATAAAAATTATAAAGTTTAATTTTTAAATTATTCGTATTATCTAAATAAATTATATAATATTTATTAGTTTAAAATATTATTATCTTTCTATATAAATAAATAATAAAACTTGCATATAATATTAATCTTATACTTATAGAAATGAATTTTATTTTTTTTAATTATTTTCTCTAAACTTATCATGAAACTAATAACTTATATTAAAGATTCTAAAAAAAATATTATCTTATAATTGTATTCTTCAAGCTATTTTTTTGTTAAAATAAATATATTTTCATCATATTTATAATTATAAAATTTTTAAGTTTATACAAGTGTATACACTAATATTATATGATATATATTTATTACTAATATTACATTCTTTTATTTTTAATTTTACTATTTATTTCAGAAACTTAGAATTTTTTCAGTAAAAAATTCTTATTTGTCACAAATTATTTATAACTAATTATCTGTCATATGATTATTATACAGTTAATTTTTTAATTTCTTTATGTTGGCAAAAATAATATTAATACTAGCTATATCATATGATCTATATAATACATCTGTATACAAATAAAAATTGCCTATAACGATTAACTATGAATTTTGATCACTAAAATAAATTTGTTTTTGGTAAATTAATAAATCTATTTTATTAAAAATAAATTTAATATAAATTTCAAAAGGTAAATATTAATATTTTCTTTAATAAAATCTTTAACAGAAACTGATGCAAAATGATTTTTAGAATAAGAATAAAATCTTCATGAATTATATGAACTTGAAAGATATTTGTTACTATATTAATAATAATCTTAAGTATTTTATTGCATTTAAATCATTTTCTTAAAGGAATATTACATTAACAATTAAGATCTGCATATTTGCATATTTTTTTTAGACTTGTTCACTGAAAATAGATATATTATTGTTATAATTAAATACAAATTCTGACCAAAATCTTTATAATTTCTCTTAAAGATTGCTCTTGATAATTACAGTTAGTCTCTTAATAATCATTTATCAGGTTATTATAGTATTAAGATGTCATAGCGCTAATTTATTAAGATGCCAGTTTATCAAGATATCAGTATAATAAATAGTTAAAATTCTAGGATGGCTTAATTAAAATCTTTTATAAATACAAGCTGAAAATCTTAAAACAGCTTAATATCCTATACTCACCTTTAGTATATTTCTTTGAAAAACATTCTCTTCACTATCTTTTCTTTACATCTTCGTGATAATTTCAATTTTCGCCTTTTTAATTTTATAATTTTGCATTTTGTAATACAGTTTATTATTTTATTTTTAATTTCTGATTTTATTAGTAGTTTATTATACAATTTTTATGTAAGAGTTTCGTAATTGTGTAATTTTAATTAATTAGAACTCAGAATTTAGTATTTATTTAGTTTAATATATTGATTTAGTAAAAGTATAGAGCGCTGACATTTATGTAATACTGATTAATTAATTTGATAATATTAAATAAATTCTTGTCAATATTACTTCATTTTTATTTAATTATTGCTCACTAAAACCTTCTGCTTACATTTACAAATTGTTTATAAATATATAAATGAAAGAACTGAAACAATACTATAAAGATATAGAATTTTCCTTTTAATGTTCATATTCTCTTTGAAAACTAATAAAAGTACTAATATTTTTAGTATTTAATTTATGATAAATAATATAAATTTGATAATTACTTACTTTCAAGAATATTTATCTATATTAAAGATTTACTTTGCAATTTGATTAGAAGTTTTCTTTGATAATCCATCAAATAAGAAAAAGCTAAATGATACATGTTATATTTAACTGGAAATCATCTGCTTTAGTTTTCTTATTTTTAGTAAATTCTTCCAGTTGTTCTGAATAGAAATCAAGAAATTCGTCAAAATTGATAAATTGTATTACAGGTTCAGTATTATTCAAATGACTACTATATTCAGTCTCTTGCAGCCGGTTGATTTTTTTGATTGTTTTGTATGACAATAAACACAAGTGCAAAGTTGCTTATCAGTCTTATCGTGAAGATAAAGATCAATAGGTAAACTTTTTATAACAACCAGAAATTTTGAATAATAGACAGAACTGACTAAATATTCGAATATAGTTTTTTGATAATATTTTAATATTTGTAACACAAATTGATAAACGCGAAACATGGCTGATGACGTGGCTGATGCACGTTGACACGTTCAACACGTCATCAGGTCGCGTAAAAATTACATATAAATACATTTTTTTAAAAAATAAGCTTAGCTTACTTAGCTTAGCTTTTTTACAACTCACCCAAACCGCAAGAACATAAAAAAAAGTATCTTTGTTATTTACCTCTGGTGAATATTAAGATATGCAAGGAATATAAAGAAGATAAAATATTTTTTAGAAGGACGAAGTGAGTTATTAAACCAGTTGACATTTATATTCTTTCGTTATATATCCAAAACTGAGTCATTTTATCATAAAAAGACAGCACTGGCTACGCTGGTTATTTAGGTAGCTTAAATGGGGCTGGTAATGAGTGCTTTAGTGGCGGATACCTATCTTAGACGTTGTGTCGTTCGTTGGATGTTGATTAATATAACAAAAGGAGTGAGTAACTATGATTATGACTTAGAATGGTATGTGTAAAATTTTTACTCCTATGACTCAGCGACTGATTGAAGGCCTGGGATCTGCGTCCTGAATTGCTGATGATATTGCTCGTTTAGTATACGGAGAGGCCGTCGTTGCCTATTTTATACTTTGCTTGACAAACATGTTAACCATCTCTTTAATATAGTTAATAACTACACGAATGAAAAATCCTGCGAAAGGTGAGTTTTTATTCCTTAGCTTTTGTTTCATTGTAAGGTGAACGAACAGTAATATGCGTGTGCGGCCTCCAAGCCGTATATGATAATGCTGACAGTCTCCTAAATAGGGTAGTGCAGTTTCGTATTATACTTGCAAAAACTGAGAAACACCCGTCTTGCGTGACCTCCTCTCCCTTAGCAAATACTAAATTAGTAAAAAACCCTATTGTTTTACTTCAGGCTTAGCACGACCGGTTTCAATCGTGACGTTTCAACTTTTCGATATATGCGGGCAATCTATTCATGCGATCAATAATCAAATTGAAAAAAAAATATATAATTGTTTATATCCGAAAAAAATCCAATTAGTTTTTTTTTTTTTTTTTTGTTGAAAATTTATTTATTGAGATTTACATTTATTATTTCAAAAATTTACAATGCACCAATTTCCTTATTAATCAAAATATTTAATTGCGCAAAGTATCTATGTCTTTTATGGCAACGTATGAACTTTTTATTAAATATGAAATAATAATAATAAAAAAAAAAAAGATAGAAAAATGGTAGTAGGTAGGATAGGTTCGCGTCTAGATGAAGTTTTTACAAGTGAAATGGCATCGAATTATTCCACTTCTGCGTAATTTGGCTGAATTCTCAAGAGTAAATGAGATGCGATATTCTGTTTTATTTTTGTTTTGTTTGTGGGGCAGTATGAAATACCATTCATAAGAAAATTAAAGGAGATACGAGTTAAATAAAACATACCGAAATATTGTTATCGAATGTCTTATCTTTTCTGTGAGCATATTTAGTTCGAAAATTTTAATGACAAACTGCCGATAAATTTATTACCTATCTCCATAAACATGGATGATAAATACTGATGTATGAACTAAGGTGAGAAGAAACTTTATTAATCTGAGTTTATTTTCAGAAAATATAACAATAAAATAATATGAAACTAATATATTTTTTTCTTTTTTTTTGAATTATAGTCAATTTGTTGATTTTTGGCTTTTCTGCGGGACCTTTAGCAACAAGGGGAGAATTAAGTAATGTTACATAACAACGAGCGAAAATTAGTCATACGGTACCATAGTAAGTTCGGTCTCGGATTTAAACATAAATACAACGGCTTTAATGCTGTCAATGAGACTTTGTAAGATATGGATGGGTAAGAATCGTTGTCGCGAATATTTAAATACGTTCAGATACTAACAACAGATCTTTATTTAATTTGAATATGTCTTCGCGTTTTTAAAAATGGATCTAACATTTTAAACACGAGCATTTGTAATTGTATAAAATATCTAGCTTATCACCCTATGGAATTTCTCTTAAAGACTGTATGTAATTAATCTTATAATGACAATTTCGAAAAAAAAAATATACCTTTTAAAATTTATGTTTATAATTATTAGCTTGAATCAGTGGCAGAAATTTTCTATTCTTTAAATGGGAATAATTTATCATCTGCAATTTCATTAAGAATGAAACTTATTAGTCATTTTCTCTATAACTTTTTAATTTCTTTTATCAAAGAAATTACTTCGAGCCGGTCGAGTCGACCCGGGTTGTTCGACCCGACTCGAATTTTTTCTCGAGTCACGAGTCCTAATTCGATAAAACCCGTCGGGTCGGGGTCACGATTTTGTTAATACATATGTATTAATTTGCCATTCTCTTTTTAAAAGATCAGATCAACATTTTCACGAAAAAAATATAAATATTCGTTGGACCAACCCTACTCGGGAACGTAATAATTAATCATCTATTTATGAACACAATGGGTAAATGAATTAATTTTTGTATTCTTAATATATGTGAACCGTTATCTGACTTTTTTTTTTAAAAAAAAAAAAAAATTAAAAAAAGTTGTATGAAAAAAAAAATGAATTTATTTAAAAAAACATCCAATTTAACAATATCACCACCAACAACCTTCTTAATAACGTTATTAAGAACAATCGGTTGTTGTTAGTTATATAAGAAAATTTACACTACTACCAATGGTAAATTTCCCAAGAAGCAATAACCTCTTCATTTTTCGCCAGCTCAATGGTAACAGATACTTTTATTGAGGTATGCTAAGCAATAACTCTCGTCAATTTCTATCAGTTACAACAGACACCGATTTGCGCGCTCATCCAAAAATTCCAATAATCCAAAAATTCAATATGAAGGCATGATCATCTTCATCTTGTCCATCCAGTGGAGTCAATAGCAAATTTTTGGTAAATTCTCATATTTTGTATCAATTTTTTTCATATTCTTTTTTTTGTTATCAATTTCTATTTCTTCCATATTTCATATTAATTTCTATTTCTTTTGTTCTTCTGTCATTCTCATATTTATTCTTCTATCTTCTGTAATTATTTATTCCTATTTCTGCATTTATTACTCTCACACTTCTTCATATTCCTTCTTCTAATTTCCTTTCATTCCTTTTTTTTTTTTCATAATCCTCTCCTTTTTCACCCTTTCTTTTCATATCTTTACTTTGTTTTCTTTTTGTATCTCTTCTTTGTTGATTTCTGTTTCTTCCTATATTTATTTTTATTTTCTTTGGTTCCCTTAATCATGCTGATTTTTGCTACTCCACTCACATAATCAATATTTCCAAGTTTTTCAGTTATTTTATCTATATCTTTAACTTTTACGAATCTTCATTATTTTCCTTTGTGTACTTCATTGCATTCTTCTTCTCCTCATAGTTATAATAGTCTCAAAATTATTAAAATCTAATTACTCATTGTCAAACTCTGGTATCTGAAATTCTTTCCTATATTCTTTCTAAATTATTTAATTATATCTCAGTATTCTGTTATATGTATTATTATATTGATCACGTGATTGCTACTATATCTTGTAAAATTTCTTCCATCTATTGTATCTATTTATATTCATATATTACACAAATTTTTAAATAAGAAAATTTTATGTCATCATGACTGAAATAAAGAAACAGTTCTATTGATATATAATTTTCTTTTATAGTAATTCCATTAGCAATCAAGTACATTATATAAAGGCACTATAGATTCTTTTTACAGAATCAATCCAGTAATCTTTTTACCAATTTCTTTCAGTTTCTTCACTTTTTTGAAATTCCTAAAGGTTGAATACTAACTTCTTTAAATAGTTTCATCTAAAATAAAGTTGTTATGATAAAGAGATACTGAATACACTTAGAATGATCAACTTCTAGGATATACTCAATAAATTTTATCATATTTGGTCTAAAAAATCATAAATTTCTTCTTAAAATTTAAAAATTCAAAAGAATTTACGTCAAGTAGACATAAAGCAACCTCTATCATGCATCTGAATACTATTCTAATGTATAATATTAGTATCTCTTTAATAAAAGATTTTTAATAGTGTGAACATAGTTAACTTTATAAATTGTAAATTTTTTATTCCTTTAGAATCTTTTCCCATAATACATTCTGCCAATTCTTTCTTTGCGTGATTGATTTTGTGAAGTTTTTTCAAAAATATTTTTTACTAATGGTTATCTTTTTAATTTCTTAGAACATGCATTAAAAATATTACGCTTGATTTATTTGCTTAGTTTATTTACTCATAATATTTAATAATCCTAAGAATATCAAACAGTAAGGTATAAATTAATAAGCTTATTTAGAATTAAAGTGAATCTATTTCTTTCAGTTTATTATACCTATTCTTAATTATTGATTCCTCATGAAATACAAGTAAAGATTTATATAATTAAAGGTTATTTTTATTAAGAAAAGATCAAAAATGATGTCATTTGATTTTTGGAAATTTTTTCTCCACCTTTTGTCATTAATCAAATAAAGAAATAGTGTAATTTAATCATATGATATCATATAATAAAATTTAATATTAAATTTATATAATAAATTCTGCTAATTTTATTATTTTAGATCTGATAAAGTAATTTATTTATAAAAAAAAATTACATGTTAATTTTAAATGTAAGATGATCTTAATTCTAAGATTTTAAGTTTCTTATTTCATTTTTTTACACTCACTATTCTTTATTATTATGTAATTTTCTTTAATATATTATAATTAATTATAAATTGTTCATCTTTGATTAAAGATGTATTTTTATATAATTATAATCTGAACTAGTAAGATAATTACTTAAAATATTATATATTCTACAATTATGAATTACATT